GAGCTAAGAGATTAAGGAAAGCATTTGCAAGCAGAAAAATCAAGGGTAAAATTATTGTTATTGGATATCACAGAGTATGGCTGTAAAACGCAGAATGATTAACTTACATCCAGTTCGGTTTTGTACTTTTCCTGAACTTTACGCCGTGCCACAGTTTCGTATGTCAATCGCTCTTTATCACTTAGCTGAGACCACTGAAAGTTGGCACATGAAAATCGCCTTCGAAATATTTTAGATATAACAGTGATAATTGGCATTTAAACTTGTAGCAGCACTTCAGGTCATCTTGTTTCTCTATCACTAAACCATTTTATGAAAATACTAAGAAAACAAATCTTTACCGTATATCGCAAAACCTGCGAAATACATAGATCCATGTCCTTCGATTTATTGAAACGATCGCTCAGATCATCGATCTTGTTACTTCAAAAACATAAAGTGAAATTTGGTATCTGTCACTGCACCACGCTGGATAGATTTCAATGAAATACAGTAAACTTCATTCTGAACCTTTTAAGCAGTGTTTTTACATTTTCGTTTAAGTTAATGAATAAGCAACTTCATAGGTGAAGATTCCGAGACTTTTCAAAATCTTCCTTTGCAAGACTTTTTCTATGAATATAGATATCACTTATGGAATTATAGCAATAACTGAATGATGTAGAACATTTCAGAGTGCAACGTTACTACATCGAGCTCTCGCTCGTACGTCCATTACGTTCACTTGAATTGAAATTCTAGGAAACTTGACTCATGTTAAAAATTGTAGACCATATACTGCATTTGATTGTCTTAAGGTTACCCACATATTAAATTGATGCTAAAGATGAAGCACTAGATAACTACTTGTGAATTAAGAATTCAAATGTTTGAAAACAATGGATTTACTATAAGAAACACATCTCTAACAGTTCAACCACAAGTAATTATCCCGAAATTTCTTAACACATTTGAATTTTTTACAAATGTTGAAACTATTTTAATCATACCAGATCTCATTTAATATAGCATCTGTCATAAGTCGAAGATATAAACGAAAGCCTCCACTGATATCTGCAAGTTTTTCGAAATTGTACAAACGACTGATAATCGTCCTCGATTCGTGTGGTCCGGCATACTGAAGGCGCTTATAACCAACAAGTGTCGTGAAATTAATCGAGGATCTAACATTCATCACCTTAAATTTCTCATAAATTTAAAAATCTATGATTTTGTTTGTATAGACAAGGATGAATCCACAAACATAAGAGAACTAATATTTCAAAAATCTCTATTTCGCACATTTTTTTTCTTCTGAAGTTGCTGCTCTTGCTTTGTCACTAGTTGTTTATTCCTATCGACTTCCAAACGTTGACGCTTCCTATCTAATTCATTGACTTCTGGCGTTCGTCCATACATTGAATCCGTCAATCGATCGGTGTTGCAACTAGTCTAAAAATAATTTAGACGATCGATTAGGGGCATGTTTACTAAAAAGTTAAAACTTCATTCTAGTGTGTAATCGTCTTACACAGAAATCTCCAAGCGTCTGATGTCCATCGCCTAAAAAATCAGGCGCATGAAAAACAGCATCACAGGCGAAGTGGAGATGTAGAATGCATTCATGACTAATATTCGAAGAGATATAAAAATAAATAAATCCAGAGTTCTGGATCTTTGTAAATAAAGAAAAATGAAAAATGAAAGAGAAATGATGAACCCTCATGTTATCGCTGTACTTTAATCTGCTCAAGAAATCTTAGTAGATTTTCAACCAAATTAAGAAGTATAAATTTGTTAGTTTGCGCCTATTCGTCATTGTCCAGTTGGAAATCTTGACCTACCAACTTCCCCACTTTTCATCACTTTCAATTTCCGTATCAGTAAAAGTAAATTCTCAACGCAGAACAATAATTTACATATAACAGCATGAAGGACATCTCTTAAAAAATAAAGATCAAATATAGGAGTTGACACATGTGATCTGTGAATGATGGTTGTTAGATGGAACAAATAATAAAATACTGCCCAAGCAGTTTTTATATGTGATTTTGAAAGCCCAAAATGAGCTAATGTACAATTTTTTTTTTTCAAAAAATGCAGAATTCCTATTGTTTGTTTATTATTTCATGTGATCGATGGGTTTAAAGCATACAACTACATAAACATAACAGAAAAAAGGCGCTGCTTATCTAAATGATCATCTTACAACCAAGTATCAGAATAACTGAGTTTTCGGTAGTTATTCAGTGTGATTTCGAAAAACGAAAAAAATATTGCCATGGTTTTACGGAACCTGAAAGACCCTGAAGAACCAGATCCCTCGAAGATAAGTGAAATAAAAGGCATGGTGTAAAGAATAAACTGTTCACTATATTTTGGATTGCTGAAGAATGTGAACTGGTGAAAAGAAAGTAACTTTAAAACGAGGCAAGAATCATAAGGCTAGGACCCGTACAAACCAAATCAAAAGTCCTATCGGATAAAAAACGTCCATGTTACAAATGCGAAACCCATGAAACCAATTCATTTAGCTTCTTATTTCTATTATTCATAAATTATGATAATAAACTTTATTGATATGCAGTGCCCAAATACATAATTAAAAAAATTAAATTTTTAAATCTCTTAGACCACAACTAAATATTTTCAATTAATCTAAAAAATTACCTCAATAAATAACCTAAGGATCAACCCTTTCAACACTCTAAAGAAGTAGACTCCAAAACAATAGGCATAAAACTATGATTAGCGCCACAAATTTCAGAGCACTGATCATAAAAAATTCCAGAACAAGAAAAATTACAACTAATCTTGGCAAACCATTAAGAGCATCTAAATAAAACATTTTGGAATAGCAAAAGGGTGAATTGCATCACTAGAAGTACAGTAAATATCTAGATTAGTTCCAACCGGCAAAACGCAACGATTATCAACATCAAATAAACGAAAATCACCAATATCTAAATCATCTATAGAATTAGTAAAAAATATGTAAACGAAAATTGTTTTTCTGTTCATAGATTAGTAAAATGCGGTTGTCTTCATTTTTCTTTACGATTTTGTTAAACCACTGCCATGCTTTGGCACTCTTGTATGACCAGCCCATTTAGTTTTCGGGATTAGTTTTGAACTTGCGACATTTACCTCTTCTTTCAACCAGTATATATTTCTCTTAGTGAAGATGATGTCAAACCCAAATCTTTTGGAATGAAATGAATTAATGCACGTGGGTCCATACAGAATACGAATGAGAAAACACGTGAAATCCATCTGATTACACAGTACTACATAAGTACTAAGCACTTCTCACCAATGGAAAGTACTTCAATGTTCAGAGAGAGGGAAGTAGAACTTATTTGACTCACACGGTAGCACTATTCAATGATACATGATAACACAATGACGTTTCACAAGACATTTCACAAGTATGCTCTTTCTTTGATACAAAAAAATATATTCACCACTTCCAAAACCGAGTAAGGAAATGTTAAAAAAAGATCGAACGATAAAAAGCTGCTACTTCTTTCTATTATCTCCATTAACAAGTTGACATCACAAATCCACTTGAAATATTCTATCTCAATTTAAAAAAAGGTTCGAATTACTCGAGAAAAAAAAGCAGAAATAAAATTTGCAAAGGACTACTAATTATTGCTAATTATTGCTCATCAAAGCATTAAGCAACGAAATTTGAAGTGTCCGTTGAAACCAGCAAAATGAAACAAGGATGATCATAGTTGTTACAGCACAGCTCTACAAAACTAATTGAAAACTTTGTCCGCACTGTAGTCCTAAAAATATCACTACTGCACTAACACAATGCATACGGTACAGACAAACGCTCGTCCGTAAACATGACCTAATGCTCAATGTTTGAAAACTCATTCATGTTTAAAATGCTTTGTGACAAGAATTCTGATGACTACAATTTATTTGCTATAACGCCGTAACTACAAAAACGCACTTACAACTTTCCTCTTTTGAACAGAAGAACTGTCATTTTCATTTTCATTTTCTGTTTCACCATTAACCTAAAATTGAACAGATAATATAATACCTGCTTGATCAGCTAGCTTCCCGAAATAGTCACTATCTACAAGCCCTTGTATAACATAGAAGAGAATGCTTCGGCAGTGTTATACTGTAGAAACTGTAGAGTATGGATAAATTGCAAAACAAGACAGTACAGACTAAAACGGCGGTCTCTGAAGAGGCGAAAAAAATATTGGAATTCTAAATGAAATTCCGAAGATGCTATCTCTATTTTAAAATCAAACTAAAACTTACAGTGTCCAGCCTGGAATCCATAAAATGATGCGGGCTGAAAAGGATTTACTATTGACAAGCATACACGGTGACTACGGTCAAGCTGAGCCTGAAGAAAATGTGACATCATAATTTGATTGACCAAAGAACTTCAATGGAATTCGAACATCCAGTCTATATATATATATATATATATATGTAAATGCGGGATATATATATATATATATATATATATATATATATATATATATA